AACAGCTTTGATTTATTCAAAACTCTTTCGAACGTTAAACTCAACAATTCGGATGTACTTATCTCTCTGGATGTCGTTTCCCTCTTCACCAATGTTCCCATTGATCTGGCTATTAATTGCATCAAAAATAGATGGCATCACATTCACAAAAAAACTACCATTCCTCTCAATGAATTTCTAAATGCGATTTCTTTTATTCTTATGTCTACATTTTTGTTTTTGACGACGTCATCTATAAACAGACGTATGGCACCCCTATGGGCTCACCTTTGTCTCCTGTGATTGCAGATTTAGTATTACAGGATATCGAAAACAAAGCATTACATAAAATTAATATTCGTCTGCCTATTTATTATAGATATGTAGATGATATTTTGCTTGCTGCTCCCAGAGATGCCGTTGATAGAATTGTTACCATTTTTAACTCCTTCCATGAGCGGTTAAAATTTACTCTTGAGGTTGAAAAAAATCGTTCCATTAGTTTCCTTGATTTATCAATTAATGTCATCAACCTTTCTCTCAAGATTGACTGGTTCCACAAGAAAACTTTCTCTGGAAGATTTTTATCATTTTTTTCCAACCATCCTCTGTGTCATAAAAAAGGAACGATTTACAGTCTTATAGACAGAGCCTTTCTTCTTTCCCATCCAGATTTCCACAATAAAAACATTCTTTTTTGTGTTGACACCTTACTTAATAATGGATATCCGCTCGATCTTATTTTCAATTCTATCAATTTTAGATTAAAAAAGCTGATCTCGCCTGAGAAATTCAATCCTTTTCCGAATATTATACCGCAGTCAGATGAAAGAAAGATTGTGGTTTTTCCTTTCATCAACCATTTATCTCTCTAAATTTATATCCCATACCTTCAAAGGTTCAAATTTCCTTATTGGTTATAAATGCCTCAATAGACTAAATAACTTAATTAAAGTCCACAAGGATCATATCGTTCATGATTCGAGCATAGATGTTGTCTATAAAATTTACTGTAACGATTGTCCCGCGACTTATGTTGGACAAACAAAAAGGCAGTTAAAAACAAGAATTAAAGAACACATGTGTAACATTAAAAAAGACACATCACAATTGAACGTTATCTCAAACCACAGACTGGAATTGGGACATTTTTTCAATTGGAACAATATCAAAATTGTAGATCATGAACATAATTACTACAAAAGATTAATCTCGGAGGTTCTTCACATAAAAGAACAATCACAGGGGTTAAATCAAATTACTGACACTGACATGCTTGACATTTCATATTCACAATTACTTCTCAAAATAAAAAGCTTCTAATTTTAAACTCAACGATTATCTCCCCACTCTTAATCTCTACAGTGAGAAAAACAGTATATATACACATGCCTTGTTTGTCTCAGCATAGTCTTAACATCTTCTTGGTTGGTGTAAGTGAATTTTATCTTTGCTGTCTATGTAAGTTTTACTCTTTATACTCATATAATTTACCAATTTTTTAGTTGTACCTTCCATTTTAAATTTTGACATCTTTATGACAATCCAATGACATGAATCTTTCGAACACCTTCAAGACGAAAAATGTTAGACGTTAATGCGTTAAACTGACAGTTTCTGTAATTAATTTATGTATTACGTTCACAACTAAAGAAGGCTCCAGTAAGAGTCGAAACGTTTTGTTTGTATTTAGTAAAATATATATATATTTTTTTCTCTTGTAATATATTTTTTTTCTCTTGTAATATATATTACTTGTGCCAAGAAGATCTGGTTAATGCTCGTTATTTAACCTTTCGTAATTGCATATTGTATTTATTACTGCGAGCGAGTTTGTATTTTTTCTATTTTAAACGTTTCATCTTTCAACAAGACG